GGGGGGGTGGGGGGGAGGGGGGGATTCTTATTATGAGGTTAACATTAATGACAGCATGCAGGGCTCGATGAGCTCTCAGGCCAAAATTCAGCTCACAGATTTGCTGCTCTGCTCTGCCTCCCGAAGAGACTTCTTCAAGGTCTCAACATTGATCTTATCATTCAGGTTGTTCACGTACCTCAAACTTGTATTCAAGCTGAAGGCGTTGCCCTTTAGTCATTGGGATTTGGCTAAATCCAGATCTTAGGGAGCAAGAACCAAACAGTCTCCCAGCAATTTCACCTAGAGCCTACATGCTTCGGCTCGCAAAGCTGACTCCAGCGGAAGAAAGCTGTGCTGGAGGCTATGAATCTGCACGCTCAAGCAACTCTTGGGCTTGCTTCCTATTTCTCAGAGCTGGACAGCGTCTGGTTGGGAGCTCCCGCCTGTGTTCGTGAGAGGTCCAGCTACAAAGTCAACTGATGCCTGTTTCCACTTCCGGATACTTTCGGTATTCGCGGTTCGTTACCGTAAACAAATTAAAATATTGTCTGTTTACTTGGATCTTCAGCATGCTGCCCTCTTGGCCCTTGGGAAACCATGCGCAAGGCTGCGGCAGCATCCATTTGCAAGCAAGCTCAGATCAGAGCCACCCTCGATAATCCCTCAGTCTCAAGATACACATGCTAGTTTCAGCTGGGCGTGGCACCATCTCAGCTGCTGCAGGGCGGCCCACCACCCGAGGCCCTCTGCCAAGTGAGTCTTGAGCCGCAGTGCACACACAAGGCCTTCACTGAGCACAGCATATATGCCTAATGATGAGTTAGTTGAGGGCGCAGGCATGCTGGTGCTATAGGTGTGCCTTGCTGCGGTTCGCGATGCTTAGGACAGGATTTCTCGGGCGGCTATCTCAACAAGCGTAAGCGCTACAGCTTCGTTTGAACATGTTGAAGCCTCGATCACTGCCTAGACCCTCTGATGAATATCTTGTGCAGCAGGAGTCTGCCTACTGAAGGAAGGGATCATGACGGGGAGGAATCGTGGTTAAGCCTCTGGTCAAGATTTGTCCATGTATGGCACGGGCAAAGGCATTTCTGACAATGGACTGCTTGCAGAACGCACGGCTGCAGCAAGTAAACTTTTCGCGAGCTATAGGCAATAAGGATCGGGATGAGTCTGCTTACCTCCATGCGCGAAAGAAGATGATGACACTGCCAACGCTCATTTTGTTTGACGTCGCCTTGCTGTCTGGCTCTTCTGGTGACACACATGCATGAACAAGGTCCGGCTTAAACATGCAACCCCATTCCGCGCAATAATCCTTCAAGCAACTGATACTGGAATTCGCGCAAAAACGCACTCCAGTGGATTTCAGCTTGCCTTGTCGTTCTTCACAGAGTTGGTGCTACAACATTCTCACGCAGTCTTTGATGCCAGGCTCACATAAGCATTAAAAAAAACGTTTGAGAATATTGCTGGAGCTGGCTTGTGTGCTGGACCTGGTTGCCGCGGAATGGCTCTGTGGCTCCATTTGGAGCCATCTAACTATGCACATACGATGTGAGGTTTAGAAGGTGGCCTGCGACCTGGCAGAGGAGTTAGAGCTGAATCCGCAGCGGCAGGCTCAAAAATCTCTTGTTTCAAAAGGCTCTGACATGAGTTTATACATACAGCTCAGATGAAAATGCTTAAGGACAAGTGTTCTGTGTGAGAGGAAGTGGCAACCAAGCGGTCACGTGGCAAACAGCGGCTTAATGATGGGAACGAGATGGCTGAAGTTCTTGGGTGGAGCTACGTCTGCAAACATGTACGAATTATGGGCTATGGGGTGGGGTAGCCAACTGATGTGTCCAATAGCTGTGGGAACGTTCTTGTTGGAGGGGCCGTCACACGCCAGCCCAGTGAAAACATCCAAACTGTGAGCTTCGCTGCGGCTTTCAAAAGCAGCACACCAGGCACTTTGCACTCTTGCAGCAGAGGCTCGTTTGTGCCATCTCCTCTGCTCTCTCACCATCCATGTTCGTGCATGCCTGTACAATTCTTGAAGCATGTTTGCGAGCGCAAGCCTGCAAGCTGAAGAATGGCTGCAACTTTGCAACTGACACGCGCCCGTGTATCCCACAATTAGCTGGCTCATTGAATCATAAGGAGATAAAAACAATGCAGACATCACAGACTATTCAACCACTTCTGTGCAATGCCTCCCGCTGGCCAGCCAGGAATGCGCTTGTGAGCGACGGCAGTTCCAAATCTGGCAGCTAGGGAAGTGTGCCAGGGATTTTAACTGTACCAGTAGCACTGACAAGCAGGGTACCGAAGTATGAGCTACTTTCTAACCAGACAAATCGGGCCTGTCAAAGTGCAGCTTCGCGAGAATTTTCCCGTAGTGCCGGATGACTGATTATTGCTTGAGGGCCATTTAGTACGGTTACCCCCGAGCTTGAACAGAAAGAAACACGACAGAAATGAACAGCCCCACAGCTTCCATGTTCATCTACTCCTGCTTGCTCATGCAGGATGCAGGCGTTTACGGCCACGAGAAATGTCACCCAGCCTGAGAGATCTTGCGACGCTGGCAGCATGCTGGGCAAGGGCCTGGTCAATATTTTGACAATTTTGGGCTGCTGTTGCTCGCCGCTGCTACCAGTATAGTCACTGATCACTAGACAAGGGGTCGATGACATGGACAGCGACCAGCCATGCTCACTGAAACCTGGCTCTTGAATGGTTGAGTCAGCACGTAAGGATTCAGCTCCAGGTTGTGCCACATGTTTTCAGAAGCTTTCGGGATCAGATGCAGAGACTTTGTACACATCAGGACGAACGTTGCATGAACGGATAATGCTAGCCACATAGCACGCCTTGTCGCGGGCTTCACGCTGCTCATGCGATGTCGCCACTTCCTCACACCTGGAGAGCATCTTTATCATCTTGCACGGCACGCGACTCTGAGACGTATGATTTGACCTCAGTGCATCCTCGGCACCATGCTTCACGGGCCTGCACTCTCGCCGTGTACCCAGCACGCAGTTCGTCCGAGAAAGTGTCGTACACCACCTGTGCTGGCATGCTTGCTGCGCTGTGGTGCTAGCCCTTTGCAAGTTCTAAGGTCCTGGAGGCACATCACAAGGTGGGGTCAAGCTGCCCTACAGGCAACGAGTACTCACTAAGGGAAGTGAAGTAGCCAGTAAAGGCAGACAAGATCTTGCCAAGCTCTCATCCATACAAAAGTCCCCAAAGAAGAGCGAAGCTGAAGGAATGCTGCATGATCCCTCCAGACCTCCTTAGCCGCCATAGCCTCGTAGGCTGCAGCCAGGCCTAACAAGGATGTTGGGACCAATTCGCCGGAGCTCTTACAGCTTGCATCTCACGAATGGTCTGGCTGGCTCCTCTCGCTGCAGCTTTTCCAACCCCAGCTTGTTTGTAGGGGAAGATTGTAGATCATCAGCTTCGCAACAGTCCCAACAATCCAGCAGAACGCTGCTGGTGCTGCCACTATGGATGTTGCAAGACCAAGGCGAGGAACCTGAAGCACGCTACCTAGACGTATCCAACCAAGAGGCTTTCTCTGCCACCGACCTCCATGGCTCGCAGAGCATCCTTCTCCATCCTTGGACAGGTCTGCGTCTGGCACATGATTTTGCACGGCATGAACTCATTGGGGGATTCTTGGTACTCCGCTTGCTGTTGCCGTGAGACATCAAGCCTGAGTCGGGCGTGCACTGCATCTGCTAACAGATTGCTTTTGCGCTATGCCTGTTGAGTGTCATTTCTCCTTGTTCATGACCTGCACACCCCGCTCACCCTCACTCGAGGCCTTTATAGTCCCATTCCTCTTTTGCTCAAGGCCCTCGCCCTTAGTTCTGGGTCTCTACCGCTCACCGCGCTCTCCTGAGAGCACAGGGGAGCTTGCATTGCACATGCAACACCACGCGCCGCTACACATAAACACTTGTCGTAGCACTGCGCCGACGCTTATCCATCTTTACACCTCTAGTCCTCCATGCCGAGAGCAGTGTAAACATCCACTTGACGCGGGATAGCCAGCACAAACTGCATCAAGCATGCTTTCCAACCCAGGCAGTGCTGGGTAAGTAAGCGCAGTGTTTTCAGAATCCGCTGCTGAGTTGATGCTTGCACTTCCGATTCATGCTTTACTCCCCTCCCTGTGCAAGATACCCGTCACATCCCGTCACTGCATGCAACCGAGAGGGTGGTTGCCCCTTTCTGTCCGGGGGTCTGATGCTCTTCATCTTCCGAGTCTTCCGCGTCGTCTTCCATCCTCGACTGGAGCCAGTGAAAGCAGCACCATTCAGAACGAAGGTTGATTTCACCAGCATTTGATAGTTTCACTCTTGACACGTCGCGAAGGCTTTGATGGCTTGTGTGAACTCTTAGCTCTGAGACTCTAAGCCCGAAGCGCACCCACATCCAGGGATCCACTTGTCGCAGATCAAGACCACATCCCCCAGCATCTAGTGATTAGTGACGTGGCTTTTGACCAACACATGCGCAGCCAGGAGTCAGATCAGCTTTCAGGCTTTTTGGTCCCTGCAAGGAAGGGCTAACGGCATGTTGCGGTCAAAAACCAATCTTCTTGGATGTCTTGGTGCGAGTCCGCCAAGCAAAGCCCCTGCAAAAAGAGGAAAAGTACTAGAAACCTGGCCTCGTCTTTGCCAACGCTGCCCTTCGCTTTAGCCACAAACCCGCCCATAGCTACAGAAAGAGGAAAGGGTGCTGAGACAAGCTACTGCTGAGGATTTGGCACCAGCCTGATCTAAGTTTACTCAAGTCCAGGAGAACTCGTCACCTAATTTAACGTTGCATCTTCCGAAAGTAATTCGGCACCTTGGTTCTGCACACCTGCTGCCTGGGGTGCTCCTCCATCTTGAGCCGCTTTCGATGTTAGCATTGCAAATGACCAGACTTTACAATACATCTATGAGAGCACTGCCGCTTCTTCTTTTTCCGCGGCATGTTGGCCAAGAGTTTCACCTAGGCGGAGGCGGCGGAGGCAGCAAGCAAAAGCCAGCCACTTCCATGAACTCACAAGCCAACACAGCTCTGCGGATGCTGCCATGGAGGCCAAGGCATCCAGGCTTGTTCGACGTCTCATGTTACTGGCCTCTGCGCCCACCATGGTTCTGAGCATAGGCTAGGACAACTTTCTGTTCTCTCTGTAGGCTTTTGCCTTGCGTTTTGTAAGGCCCGCAGATGCTTTTGGCGCGCTGAGTGATGCTGGCGGTCTAGGAACCCTCACAGAACGACGAAAGCCCCACCGATTTGAGCTTCCAAATGCCAGAGGGAGCTTGTACGGCTAGTTGAGCTCAACAAGTTCAGGTGAACATATGCGTCATCCCATCTGCCCTTGGCTTGCAAATTTGGCTACAGAATTCGCACTCAAGAAGGACTCTCCGAGCTTGAATGCTTTAACCTGCTCTGCCACGAAAGGTAAAACAAGACGAATACAAGCAATGAACAGAAGACCAGAAAAAATCTTTGACTCGAAACAGGGCTTCAGGAAGGCCGGTCCTGTTACAGTAGACATACAAACACCAGACTCCTGACCCCTCTTTGGTCAACATGGTGTTTAGGCTTGAGCGTTTGGGTACCGTGTCATGCCTTCTGGAACTATTTCTGCTGCCGTCATACAGGATGAATCTAGATGCTAACACCTCGGTACGCGAGACCTGGATAGTGTACTTGATCTGCATGTGCCTTCCGCGGTTCCTTCAAGACATGCGATTATACTTGATGTGGACTATGCCCCTGAGCATGTTGACAGGACTCCCTGCGTGGCCTGTCCCATGAGGACTCGCAAGTCTCGCGGTTCCAGAAGTAAGGAATACCATAGTCTTCGCTCCAATGCTCCTGACCCATTGCTTCCGGCACATTGCTTGTTGATAGCAGCTGCTACAGCTACATGCCTACGTGTACGTGCGTACATTTTAAGTATATACATGTTCCACATCAGCCCAGCCTTTGCACATACATATTATGTATATGTATATGTGTATATATATGCATAATATATTAATATATGTATGTGCAAAAGCTGGGCTGCTTCTCGATATATACTGACTGATACTTTACATAGATCAAGAGCCTCCTAACCTTAAAACCAGCTGCAGACATGAGGGATGCCCGGGGCCTCCCAGTCCGGGGGCAGCTGGCCAGGCCTTATAGCGACACAGCTGCTTGTCACCGTACAACTTTCCGCAGATCTGGGGGCATGCAAGCACGAAATGGCACTATGCAGAGGAGTGGCGACTCGGCTTTGTGTGTCCGAGCCACAGGCGTCCGAGACCTCGCTTTTAGCAGATTATTTCGCATGTGGAAGGGCTCACACGTGGATTTGAGGGCACCTAGCGCAGCGGAGTCATGGAAGGCTTCCTGGTGGGCCTCTCCATTTGTGAGAGACGCTGAGGTCAGATCCGATCTTTGGCCAGACCGACACTGCCACGAGGCCTTACTCACAGGCTCTTTCAGATGACGTGCTGGTCAGACAGATTTGGAATCTGCAACCTGTTTCAACATGCTCTACGAGTCTCTATCCAGCTCTGTTCATCGCGCCTGGTCTTTGCAGGAGCTGCTGGGGAGTGTTTCTCTTCGCTTTTCGGCGATGGAAATCTTGGCCTAGGCTGATGAGCATCGAGAGCATGGTGGTGTCTAGCACTAGCTACTGCATACTTCTCAGACCATGATTCTTTCGCATCCTATTAGGTCTATCAGCTGACGTTGTGCACACATCCAGGTTCACTTGGTGCATCCCAGGCTCCACTGGTCGCGTTGCTCCATGTCATATCCGTACGTTTATGCAAAGCTAGCTTCTTGAAATCTACATGGGAAGCAGCGGAGGCCGCAAAACAGGCCGATGCACCCAATCTGTTCTACGTATTCGCTCTCGTCGACAGGAACATAGCCTTCTGCGTATCGTTTCAGCCCAGATGCTTTACGAGGCCAACGCTGCCTCGTGGCCTGCAAAATATTCGAGCAGAGATGCTTGACGTGCCCCAAGCAAAAAGAGACAAAAGCAAACCAAGGGCTTTCAGCCTGCCTTGTGGAGGATTCTTTGCGCCTCAGGCCAACGAGAACCCAGAACGCTCTAAAAGCACGCTCTAAAGTCAACTGTCTGGTATTGTGTGGCCCTGCTGGAGCACAGTACCCTAGAGCCAGCTTTGCGACTTGGGGTCGGGCGGCACGGTGACACCTTGCCCAGGTGACGCTGGCTTCGTCGCTTTAGGCATCAGAGGCCGAGGCCTTAACAGGACCAGACATGGCCAGACCATCCTCTGGGCTCGGTGTTTTGAGGAGAGGATGCACTGGGGCCTTTAAAAACCCTCATCCGGGTGACGGAACGCGAACCTCCTTAAATGTAGCACACGCGAGATGACCCACATTCCAAAGCCATACCATCAGGAGAGGACCTACACACACATCAACAGAGCCAGGGCACGCTTTGGAGCTCGACGCAGCCTGCATTTACTGACATGGTACGAGGCAGCATGTATATGTGGACATGCACATACAAGTTGCGGATGCTTAAGTAGTTTACCGCGGTCCAGCAACTCTGCTGACTCATGATAGACTTCTTTAAGCCATGCTGACGACAGCAGACCCTATCAGCAATCTGGCGCTGGAGACAACGTGTGAAATCTGGAGTTTCGGCTTCAGGCCAGGCCAGCTGCACATGCCAGCTGGCGCAGGCCGTTGTCAACCAGTGTCTGCAATCCGAATAAGAAAACTCATGCTCGTGGCACTGCAGAAACTCAGAGGCTTCGTCCTCCGCTGTTTAAAGTCATGCAGCTAGGCCTTTGCGGCGACGCTTGCCACACTTCCCCTGAGACGGCTGGAATTCGTGGAGGGGCCGGCCTTTGGGGAAAATTAGGTGGATCAGAAGGCCTGCCTGACCATATATACACCAAATGTTCTAGCTCCCCCAGGCCATTTGTCTGGGCCATCAAACAGCAAACAGCAATCCGCAGTTGCAAGGGCCTCTGCCCGTTTGAAGGGATCAGCACTCCCGTGCCGGCCTAGTCACACTTGCCGTTGGCTTTATCCGCTTTGCCTCAGAACTTCGGAGATGAACTTTGATACAGTGCAAAGTGTGAAGTCGCTCGCCAATCAAACTTCCGGAAGACACGAGCAGAGACGAAAATCATGATCTCTTGGCACTGATCCGTTACCTGATACGGCAACCTAGAGCTGTTTCAGGCCTTAGAGGCAGCCAAAGATGTTGCGGCAGCAGCCCTCCGGACATTAGGCGCGACACTGGCAAACCGCTGGTGCCTGATT